TGGTCTCCATCCTGCCACCTCCTCCCTGGTCTCCATCCTGCCACCTCTTCCCTGGTCTCCATCCTGCCACCTCTTTTCTGGGTCTCCATCATTCGACCCCTTTTCTTGTTCTCCATTTTGCCAACTCTTCCTAGTCTGGATTCTGTACCTCTTTCCTAGTCTCCATTCCTCGACCTCTTCCCTGGTCTCCTCCTGCCACATACCCAGTATAGTCTGGACTTCTCATCCTGTACAATTGCATGAGCATATCCTTAAAATAATCATCCTTCCCTCTTTCTGTATAGTGCCCTATTGGTCTTATTTATCTGGAGAACCCTGCTGCACATGGGGAATATAATGACAAATCCCTGCTAAGTCCCAAAGTTTTCACTAAGAGTAACTTTCTAGGAATAAATTTCTCCTTTGAGAACTTAATTTTTTTTTAAAAAAGAGCTGATATCCTTTACAGGGACAGTGACAAAACCAGTCAAAAATGAAACAAAGGACTTGCTGGTGGCTCCTAGCTCCCTTTCTTGCCTGTCACATGTCATGATTCCACTTACCATGGACCAGTCTTAGACATCTGCTCCTCATGGTGCCGAGATTGGCCAGCCCAGTGATGGAGGACTTTAGGTTCTGGCTGGAGTTAAGAATGCTTCCAGTTTAAATATGAGTCGTGACGAAGTTGACCACAGTGAGGAAATCACAGTCTGGATGCTTTCTTCCTCTGATCAGTTCCCTGGTGAATTTCTCAGAACTCAGAGGTTTGTTGCCAAATATTTGCTTAGTTTGGGTAATAATTGTGCTGAAGATCTCCTTGGGGGTGACTCACATCTTCTGAGACAGGAAGGTGGGACACTGTATATTAGAAGCTCAAGCATGAAGGATCATTTCTCCTGATCTTCTAGCCCTGTAAGGACCTTGGTTCAGAATGAATAGACTTATCTATTTATTACCTATTCCTTGACTTACTTGTGTAACTTACATGAAAACAAAGCTCATGAACTCAGGGCCTCAGTAGATGGGTCAGGAGAAGTCAAACAGCCCAACACGTGACTCTCCTCCAGGGCAGGGATAGAAAGAGTCTATGTAAGCTCATGTCTTACCATTTCCCTTCCACCAAAGCACCGTGTCCCCAGCCTGAGACAAGACTTGGCATTCCCAACACTCACGTTTAGAAAGTCTGAGAAGGGAGTTTCCGCAGAGCCACCTGGTCCTCACACTACTATTGTTCCTTATAAATTTTATTATTATTTTTCTCTATTTATCTTTCATTACCACACTGAGAGAAAAATGGGTAATTGCTGTGAAAAATTAAAGTATTCTTTCAAATACCTGGTAGACATCTTATTCTTTGCAGTCTTTATTGTTAAGTTAGTAGTGTGCCATGGGGAATATAATGACAAATCCATACATTGTAAGTTTGAATGTCCCCATCCCCAGGTTACACCAAATTCTGTATTGCTTCCTGGCCCAATTTGAGTTTGCTAGGCAGAAGTCTCACCTATTATGAATATGATGATATGATGTGTGTTCTCCCTTATAAGCCTTAAGCCGACTCTTGTAACAATGAAATAGTATTAATAATTATATATACTATTGAAAAAAAATCTCATATTACCAATGGGGGCTGTTATGTTTTAAAACCATTGCTCCTAAACTCAGGCTCTTCACCTTGCACTTATAAAAAGATACAATATTATACTGTAAGTATTAACTTGATAATACCATATGGATTATATTTCAACTTGCCTTCCCCATTCAACTTCGTGCATTAGAGGTTTTTTTAAATTAATTTTTTATTCGTTTTAATTAGTTATACATGACAGTAGAATGCATTTATACCCTATGGCAGGGGGCTATAGTGGAGATCTTTCAATATCTGTGTAGGAGCTATATCATGCACAGGTGTATCCTGTTTTTAAAATTTATACCGATATACCCTATTCATTTTGTTATTCTTTATTGGTGGTTGCTTATATGTAGTGAAATTTTTCACTCTTGCAAATATACTGCAGTAAATCTTGTAAACAGCTTTCTGTGAACATGGGATTGTTTAATGTGACATAGATTAAAAGAGGTGTGATTGCTGGGCCTTAGGTATATCCAGATTAAATTTTCATAACTGGTACCAAATTTCTGAATAAAATGTCTATGTAAGTTTACTCTAGTACCTACCATATAGGAATATCCATTTCACCCCTGGTCTAACAACTATTGAATATAATCAATTTGGTAGATATTTCCTAAACTAATGCTTGAAATTTTAGCTCCTTTTTAAAAAATTAATTTCAGTTTCCTTGATTGCTGTGTATTTATTTGCCATTCATTTTTCTTTTTCAGTTAAGAACATATAAATTTCAATTTGCCCCAGTGGCTCAGGAGTCTGAGGCAGGAGGATTGCAAGTATAAAGCCAGCCTCAGCAACTCAGCACTAAATATGTGCTATGAACATCGTTGTACAAGCATCTATTTGAGTCCCAGTTTTCTATTCTTTGGGGTGCACACAGATGCGGTGGAGTTGCTGTGTGATGTGATAATTCTATGTTTAACCTTCTGAGGAACTGCCAAACTGTTTTCCACACTGGCTGGACCATTTTCCATTCCTAGCAGTAATGTATGAGGATTCAAAATTCTCCCCATCCTCACCAATATTTTTATTTTATTTTTAAAAAATGTTACTTTTAATTTTACTTAATGACACCTATTGTCAATAATGTGTAATGATCGGGCTGGGGATGTGGCTCAAGCAGTAGCACGCTCACCTGGAATGTGTGCCACCTGGGTTTGATCCTCAGCACCACATGCAAGCAAAGATGTTGTGTCTGCCAAAAACTAAAAAATAAATATAAAAAAATAATGTGTAATGATCATTTTAGGGTAATTGACACATGCATCACTTTAAACATATATCACTTCTTTGTGCTGAGATTATCCAAAATATTCTAGATTTAAAAAATTACTTTCTGATTAGCATTAGTCACTCTAGTATGCAACAGAACACCAGAACGCATTCCTCCTAACTGTGACTTTGTGCCTGTTGATGACCTTCACTACCCTTCCTCTTCCCTGTCCAGCCCAGGTAACCATTAATCTCCTCTCTCTCCCCAGACACCAGCATTTCTGGATTCCTCCTCAAAGGGGGATTCTGCAGTCTTTGCCTCTCTATGTTCACTCTGGGTTGTGAAGTGCATCTTACTGTGGTTTTGCATCAAGCTCAAATTTTGTTCTCCATAAGTAAAGTTTTGTTGGGAGACAACCACACCTGCTCCTTTGGTATCTATGATGACTGCCACCCTCATGGCAGAGCTGAGTCACTATAAGAGACCATGTGGCCTGTGAAGCACAAGACATTTACTATCTGCCTCTTCACAGAATTTTGCTGGGTCCCCCATTCAAGCAAGTAGGCAAGGTGAGAACCATGTTAGTGAGTGAGTGTGTCTGTGTGTGTGTGTGTGTGTGTGCGCGTGTATGTGTTTGCATGAGCTTCTCTAGGTCATAGCTTTCAGAGCTGCTGGGTAAGTGGGGGATGTGGTGGACAGAAGGACAGTCCCCCACAGGTATCCAAGCTCTCATCTTTGCAACCTGTGACTACTTTACCCCACCTTTTATATCCAACTGTGAATATTGTCTTTAAAATCAGAACAAATACCAAAGAAACAAACTGGCAGTTTATTACAATTACCCTCAGCTCTGTTCTCTTTAGTTATTGCAAGGGCTAGCTATTGCTGTAGAACAAGCAGTCCTCAATGCAAATGGTGTAATAAGGTTTTTTATTACCCAATGAGACTCCCTATTGGGGTTTTCTGAGTCTGACTCAATAAAAGAACTTTCATGTTCATAGGAGAGCCTGTGGCCAGAAATCACATGAAGGACAGGAATCAAGCTCCCTTGTGAGCCATTCTTTGATATTGAGGACTGAAGTCATTCTGAGCCTGAAGGACACACATAATGGAGGATATGGGTATTGCTCATTTACTACTCTTCACTTGCTGTGGTAAAATTCAGAAAGGGGAGGAATATTTCACTTAGAACAATGGAAGGATTAATATTTCTAGGCAGCACTGAACATTTTCAAGCAAAAACACATCACTGACTCAATAGTGCAAACAAGAAAACACTGACAATCTCAAGGATCAAACCCCTGACACAAGAACACCAACCTTCCACATCTCGTGATTGTATTTGACAGATGAAAAGACATATTTTACATAGCAATACAATGTGTAATGTAGAGGTTTGTCTCATCATATTTAATGTCCTCTCTGCTTCTGAGACCAAAGTAACCAAACTTTCATTTTAAGTTTTTCTTTTCACATAGACTTCAAGTGGAGACGTGTTTGAAAATAAGCTTTGCCAGTGATTATGGTAGAGGCTGTGGACACCAAGCTGGGCAAGATAAAAGAATAACAATGGTGAGAAGAAAAGCCAGTGCGCAGCCATGAAGCTCGCTGGTCTGTTAGAATCGG